TGAATTGGCAGAAGTTAGAATTCGTGGACCATTGGATCGGGTCCCAGTGGCTTAATGGTATACGAGCTCGCCTTGTAACCAGAAGGTCCTGGGTTCGAACCCTGGCCGGTGGGTGCGTACTGATGAAGATTCCCAAACTAGGACGAAACAACTGTCCAGTACAACCAGGTTTTCCAATGGTTCTCTAACTAATGTCAGCTCATGATGAAAATCCTGAAATACATAATAGTTGGTTTAGGCTAGCCACGTAGGCACGTGTAGACTTCCTGACTGGTTAGCGTCCTCTGGATGGTAAGAAGCAAAGAAGAGCTGGAAACGATTCGTGATATGGCTCGAAATCATCGTTCTCAATGGTTGGTGCAGATGCGTGGGTGGCACAGTGGTTAGGACTCTCGCCGACCGTGCACATTGTCCGAGGTTCGATTCACTGCCGACGCACACATATCTATGGTCGGCCTGCAAAATTTAGGCTACGGATATCACATGCTGAAAATTTCATACAACCACCAAAAATACAGTGTGGAATCAAGCTGTAATCAAAAATCAAAAAAATTCTTTGTGATTCATAATATCCACTAAAATTCGATTGTCCCTCCAAATTACTTTTATTTTTGCCTCACATTCAATTTTCTCATCTCCCTCTCCTTCTCTCTATCTCTCTTGAGTCTCTCCTTACTCTCTTCTCTTGGTGTTTGTGTGCTACGTGGAAGGAAAGTGGCAGCTGGGGCTACTGCACACCTGTGCAAAGTTCTACTTTGAAAGCAGTCAATCAGTCAGACAACTTGGCATAGGAGTTCTAGTTGAATCACTGTTTATGCTTTGATTTTGCCTTTTGAGAAATATTTTGTGTGTAGCGAATGGCTTGAGTAATAATATTGCAAAAGACATACCAAAGGTAAATTTTATTTGAATACCAATTTGTAATCGTGTGTTAGTGGTTGGTTGGACAGTATCTGTACATATCCATAATCAACTGAAGCAAGAGTAGGATAAAAAGCGAACAAAGTGATATGACAAGGACAGTAGTACTTTACGAAGTTTGATATGACTACTTTTAGGTGTACAATGAGTCACAGATGGTTCCTGAGAGATTTTGTGTGAAAAAGTAGTGATGTGACATGGTTGAGGTGATTCAATGGCACCCACACTTGATTCTTTCTAAAGTTTGTAATGCCTTATTATGGGCATTCTATCCTCTTTATTATTTTATGCCCATTTTTAAGAGAGTACCAGTAATGGAGGGGGAGGGCAAAGGGCGTGTTATGTTATAAACCTCTTGTTACGTATACCTTGAATGACAACCCTTAAATACTCCCACGGTCTGGGCAGCCGGGAAGTAACAATCGCCCTCACAATCCGAAATGCACACGAAACCTCTCTATTACTCACTCATCTTTGTTTTCATCTTCATCTCTATCATCTTGCCTTCCTTCCACTGATGCAACTCCTCGACTTGATAGCTCTCCACTTCCTCTCCACTCTGCGTCCACTAAAAACGATGGAAGCCAAAAAACCACCACCGACAGCCTCTTAAAGCCGCGCCACCAATTTCATATAGGAGCTTTTAATGTTAGGACACTTTGCCAAATAGGACAACAAGCATCACTAGCCAAGACCCTGGCATCACGAGCCATTGATGTATGCTGTGTTTCAGAAACACGCATACAAGACCCAAGTGTGGTTATTCACCTAACCCCACCTGGCCAACAGGTTGAATCTGCAAAATTCACCTTGAGGGTGTCAGGAGATGCCACAGCTAGTTCACGAGGATTAGCTGGCGTAGGGATAGCTTTGAGTACTAGGGCAGAAAAGACATTGCTTGACTGGATCCCGGTAGATAGCCGAATGTGTGCTGTCCGTCTGAACGGATCAGTAAGAAGGAGAAAGGACTGCACTACTCGCCGATGCCTTTTCGTAATCTCCGCCTACGCCCCCACTGACTGCAGTTCAGATGAAACGAAGGATGAGTTCTACCAAAAGCTGTCTAGTTTGGTGCGAAAGGCTAAACGCTCAGACATAGTCGTTCTAGCTGGTGACTTTAACGCTCAAGTAGGGAAATTGTGTCAATCTGAGAAGGATGTCGGTGGCACCTATGGAGTTCCGTGCCAGCGAACCGACAACGGTGACCGTCTCCTACAGTTCTGTTCTGATAATCATTTGTTTCTTGTAAGCACTAACTTCAAACACAAGGAGAGACACTGTTTGACTTGGAGACCCCCTTCATCAAACCAACGCTGGACACAAATAGACCACATAGCAATAAGCTATCGTTGGCGTGGGTCGGTAGGAGATTGTCGCTCCTTCTGGAACACGTGTGTAGATACCGACCATGCACTGGTCCGCGCTCGGTGTGCTTACGACTGAACGGACGTAGGAAACAGCTGGCGGTAAAACCATCACGTCCCCAGCTCGATCAGGAAACTAAATCCGTATTTGAGGAAGAACTAGCTAAACACATATCTGTGTTCGACAGCTGTGCTCACCCTGAAGAAGCTTGGAAAAATATCCAGGCAGCCATAGATACAGCTGTAAAAGCTGTGAATAAGGTAAACCCAAAGGTGAGTAAAAACCACTGGATCTCCACCGCCTCATCCGAACTGATAGATGCTAGAAGACTTATTCCGGCGAGCTCCGAATTCAATGAGGAGCGAAAGCTGCACAAAAGGAAACTTACGAAAAGTCTCCGCAAGGACCGTGAACAGTGGTGGGCGACAAAAGCCAAAGAGATGGAGAAAGCTTCGAGGATAGGCAACACCAGGCAACTCTTTGGACTCATCAGGGAAACGGGTGGGAGAAGACAAATCATAGTGAAACAATCTCGGAAAAAAATGGCACTATAATTAGCTCCCAGGATAGACGACTGGATCGTTGGAAAGAGCATTATGAGGAGCAGTTTAATTGGCCCACAGCCACGCTCAACCTGACGAACATCCAACACCTCCCTGAATGGGATATAGACACAGGTCCTCCATCCCTAACTGAGGTTACTAAAGCTGTCACCAATCTGAAACTAGGCAAAGCAGCGGGACCTGATGGAATGACTCCAGAGGTATTTAAGTACGGTGGAGACAGTTTACTGTCTGCATTAACTGAGGTACTAGGCAGCGTCTGGGAATCAGAAGAAGTCCCATCGGGTTGGTGTAAGTCACTGATTATCCCCATATACAAGAAGGGAGACAAGTCTTCCTGTGATAATCACAGAGGGATTAGCTTGACTAATATATATGCAAGATGATGTTACAGGACTGGACTACGCCGACTCCCAGATTAGAAATAGGAAGTGAAGTGGTATAGCAAGTTGACCGCTTCACTTATTTGGGAAGTACCATCAGCCAGTGCCAACGGGTTGATCTCTGACGAAATCTCAGCACGAATACAGGGGGCTCGTTTCGCATTTGCCAGTTTACTCCGTCTCTGGCGTAGACGTGTTATCCGACTATCGACCAAAGGGCGGGTGTACTGCTCATCAGTCCGCTCCGTCCTCCTTTATGGCTGTGAGCGAAACCTGGCCATTGAGAGTGGAAGACATGAAAAGATTAGCTGTCTTTGATCATAAGTGCCTGCGCTCTATTTCCCCTGTCGTCGAGTTCTAGGTAAACAAGGGAAACCACTCGACGAGGTTGTGAAGTTACAAAGACAGATGGTAAGGACATGTGTTACATATGCCTAGCCTAGACATCGCCTTCCTCGACGGGCAATGTTAGCTGACATAGGGTCAGGATGGAAAAGAGCTAGCGGAGGTCAAACAAAAACATGGAACCAGTCAATGAAATCCACAACAATTAGTCTAAGCCACGTAGGAAGGTGTACACTTCCTGACTGGTTGCGGTCCTCGGGACGGTAAAAAACAAATGGCTGGAAACAATTGGTGACTTGGCTCAAATGGTTGTCAATGGCTGGTGCAGATGCATCCACTCTTTATGACTTATGATTTCCAATGAAACTGTTTTGTTCTTCGTTATTGCTATTCCTTTGTCTCACACCTCTGTTTGCTGTCTCTATTATGCATTTCTTCTACTTTATTCTCTTGATTTGTGTGCTACAAGAAGGGAGTGTGGCGACTTGAACTTCCGCACATTTGTGCAAAGTTCTATGTCGAAAACAGACAGTCAGAGAGAGACCCTTAAATAACTGCGTAAGCTTCAACAAGAGCTTTTTTTGTGGGATTTGCTTTCCAGAGGGAACCTTAACAACGAGATTTTTATTTGATAGAGTCGAGTTTAACTTCGTAGTACGTAATTGTCGTGAGACTCACATAACCCTATTCCTATTCCATAATCTGATGTGAAAGATGGAGGTCTGTGGTGAATTCTCGTGCATGTTTTTAGGGCAGGTAAATCTTGCACACTTGCTGTTTTTCTTTTATCACAGTGTTTGTGTTGGCCAACAAATTTTGTCCAATATCTTTTTTTTCTTTTTCCTTCACGTTCCCCAGTGGAACATAAGGCTTCAAGCTAGTGGCTTGAAGTTTCTGTAGCGGTGCTTATTTTTTACAGAATGGGGTTGCTAGCCTCATGCCCAACCTTTCCTCTTTACCAGTATTATTTCTGACTCAGCGAGATAAAGGAGTGCGTCCGCCGAGGATCGAACCCCGAACCATGTGCATGGTCGGCGAGCGTCTTAACTGCTATACCACTGATGCTTGTCCAATATACTATACTGTTTTCGTGCAAAAATGTATATTGTTAGCTAACTACCTGATTAAAACTCGCATTTTCACTCAATAGTTCCCTGGTTCGTATCTCGCACCACTTACTGTAGCTTGAGCAACTGGGTAGTATTATTAGCCGTCACACAATAAACACAGCCCATTCATTAGCCCAGTAACGGGCAACTGAGTCCTAATTGATTAACCAACATATTGATTAGTATTTAACAACTGCATAGCTTCACTCTGGTTGAGGTTACTGAAGTTTATCTTCAAGATTGGCAGGTTGGTTGTGCACAAGTTTCTGTTTATCTTAACTAATTAATTAATTTTTTCGTTATTTATTTACTAGAGGACGTCGTATGCTTGGTATCCTTCAAGGAACATTGAAACAGTTTCAAGCTGAATCTGCAGCCGCTGTGAAGAAACCACAGATGGAGAAACGACGTCAAATTGATGCTAAATTAGAAGCTCGTGAAAGAGAAGAAAAGGAGAATCTACGTCGTGAACGTGCTGAACTATTTCGCGCCCGAAGAGAACATCATATTGAGGTCAGCATCTTACAACAAAAAATGAGAATATTAAAGAAGGTTAGTTAAATAATTGTAATAATCTTTTGGCTTGGGGAAACAACTTCACATCTGTATTGTTGAATTGCATTCACATGAATTATCAACACCTAATCGACTTGACATATAGAGGTGGTTTGCACGGTCACGTTCTTTTATTTAACTCGTCAGAAAGAAGATCACACGAAGTTCAGCGAAGATATCGTTTCGGTGATTTCATTTTCAAAAGCTGTACAATCGCATTTAAATACATAAATTTACATAGATAATCATTATTTGATTCCACATAATTACGAAGGCGAATAAAATGGTGACAATTATTTTCAACTTGATATGGTTTACGAGAGGTGTAAAAACAAAATTACACAAGATTAGAATGAATTACAGGGGTGAACAAAATGAGCGCGAAAACAAATTGAAGTAATAATTTCCAACCTGAAATGGAAGTTAGGAAGTGTGAACATAGACTACAAGAGGCTTAGATACAAAAATTACACAGGATTAGAATATAATTGGTGAAATAGTTGTTTTAAACGAATTGCAAATATGAACAGGAAGAGCTTGCAGACAAACTTAGAATAACTTCGTATAACTGGAAAAATGGATGAATTGAATGAAGACATGGAGAGAAAAATCCCACACAGCCAAAAAATCAAAGGCTAAGGGAACATACCGGACTACGTTTATGGTAGTTGTAAAGGTTGGACTAGTTTCTTTCGTATACACAGATCCGGCTTTCCGATGCATGTTGCGAGGGCTTCTTCAGTACAAAGAAGTCGGAAACATACTGACTTTGGTAGGTTTCTGTTTACTTTGTAAACAACTTTGAATGAATTAGTTGAGATGCTGTGGAGGTGTTGGTCGGATTTTCAATTATGGCACTTCTGATTGAACCAGTGCCTCCTCTTTGCAGCCATGCTAGGTAATGTTCTCTAACACGTTTCGAAAGGACGCGCACACAACAACCTATGTACCTAGCTCCACACGAGCAAATGAACTGGTATATACACACTGAATTGGTCATATGCAGGAGTTTATGCTTTGGATTGTTCATAGGTATTGGGGGACTAAAGAATATCACTCCTAGTGTTGTTGCAGGGAAGGTCTTCTTTAGAGAGCTAGATATTCTTCTCTTTAGGATATCAACTGCCGAATCTCCCCTGAAGTTCAGATTCATACACGGGGTTTTCTTCAACTCTGAACTGCATTCATCTCTTTTTGTTTTTTTGTTTTATGTTTTTATCGACAAATCGCACCGGGTAACCATTTTGAGCTAGGATATTTTTGAGGAATAGGAGTTCCTTTTCCAAGCAATCGCTGCTGCAGATTTTTCTTATGCGGTGGGTTAGTGCGATGATGAGAGCTCGTTTTTGGCTCAAAGGCATCCAACTATAAAAGTTTGTTAGCTGGCCATTCCACGTTGATTTTCTGTGGATGAATCTCTTCAGACCTCCATCATCTCTTCTTGTTAGTTCCACATCCAGAAATGGAATCTGAATCATTTTCTTATTCCATTGTGAATTTAATCGAAGGATGGGAATTATTAAATTCTTGTAAGATACAATTGAAGTCGGAGTCATCGTAGCAAACTATAAAGGTATTATCTTCGTGCCTTTTGTGCAGTGATAATTTGTTTACTGTTGATTTTAAAACGCCGCTTTTCAAACTGGCCATAAAGCAGTCTGCTAAAAGTGGGTCAAGAGAAGATCCCATTGCAATTCCATCTTTCTGTCTGTAGATGTCGCCATTGAAGGAAAATGATATATTCACCGTGCATCTCAGCAACAATTCGTTCCGATGCTTACATTCGAGTTCTCCATATAATTACATGGGAAGCAAGTTGTTTCTGTTAGTGGCACGTTGATAAAGAGAGATTCGATGTCTAGGGATAACAACAGTTTACCATTTATATTCAAATATTTCATGCATTCAAGGTACTCAAAAGTATCACAAAAGGGAGTACATGCTTAGGTGTTGTCTTACAGGCTCCAACATCTCGGACAGCCATTCGGCTATTGGATGGAACGGGGACCCTGATATGTCTAGAATTGGTCGAAGTGATAAGTCAGGTTTGTGTACCTCTGTTAAGTCACAGAGTCGAGGAATAGTTGATCCTGTCGGTTTTAGGCTTACCAAAGGCACACAAACCTGGCTTATCACTTCGACCAATTCTAGACATATCAGGGTCCCCATTCCATCCAGTTTATTTCAATTTGTTTCCATGCTCTTTTTGTTCACCGCTGTGTAATTTTGTTTCTACGCCTCTCGTAAACCATATCAAGTTGAAAATAATTGTCACCATTTTATTCGCCTTCGTAATTATGTGGAATCAAATAATGATTATCTATGTAAATTTATGTATTTAAATGCGATTGTACAGCTTTTGAAAATGAAATCGCCGAAAATATATCTTCGCTGAACTTCGTTTTCTCTTCTTTCTAATTTACTAATCGGTATTTTTGAGTATATTTAATTTGTCTCTTAATGTGTCTCATTTCATTTTTGAATATATTAGACACTCTACATGGTCTAAAGAATCTCTATTCGCTGCAAGTGTCTGCGTTAAGTTAGTTGTTATATGCGTCCAATGGGGTTTTGGGCGCACCATTTTTTGTCTGAGTGATTTAAGGTAGAACTTTGCACAGATGTGCAGCAGCTCGAGGTGCCATTCTCCATGTAGCACACAAACCAAGAGAAGAGAGCAAGGAGGGATTTAAGAGAGAGAGAGAGAGAGAGAGAGAGAGAGAGAGAGAGATGATATAATGGAATGTGGGACAAAAAGAACAGTAATTTAGAAAAACAATAGAATTTTATTGGATATTATTGACCACAAAGAGTGAATGCATCTGCACCAGCCATTAAGAATGAGGATTAAGAGCCATATCACCAATCGTCTGCAGCTCTTCATTGGTTCTTACCACCCAGAGGACGCGAACCATCCAGAAGGTCCACACCTCCCTACCTGGTTAGTTTAAACTAATTATTCTGGGTTTCATTGGTTGATTCCGTGTTTTGGTTTGACCACCACTAGCAACTCTTTTGCAACCTGGGTGATCCTATGTCAGCTAACATTGCTGATCGAGGAAGGCCGGTAGCTAGACATGCATATGTAACACATGTCCTGACCACCTCAATCGGCGTAACTTCACAACCTCGTTGACTGATTTGCTGCCGATAGCTAGCATTTGACGCCTAGCCTTCGTATTGCTCACCCTATTTAACCACTTCATACTGGAGGTAGAACACAGGCACCTATGATCAGAGACAACTCACCTTTTTATGTTTTCACAAGTTTATGCATAGTGCTGTGGTGGATATTCGTCGTGTGTATAGTAATGTTTAAAATTCCTTTCTCCCGTATTGTTTAATTTGGTTGGTTTCAATGAAGTTAGTATCTGTTTGATCATTTCGATGGTTTGGTCCTGCGGATAAATCATTCGACATAGGATTAGTTTGGGAAAGTGTGAAAGGTGGTCAAGCAAATACTTGGAACCAGGGGATTAAGTTTTGCTACACTTGCTTTGTTCCACATAGTGTCTCTGTGGAGATATGGACTTGGTGGTTGGAGTCCCCGGGATTCTAAGAAGCAATAACTGGAGTCCACAAGGGATGTGGTTGAAAATCATTCTGAATGGAGGAGATGCTTCTCCCTGTGATCCTGCATGTCCGCGAAACCGTCAATTATTTTTGTGTGTTCCGACTGTTTTCGTTCACATTTCTGCTTAATATTTCTTATTACTGTTATTATTCGAATCCGATTGTATCTCTCTTGTGTTCTGTATGGCGTGTGTTAACTTAAACGACTGGATTTCTCTATAGATTTGAGTGTTGTAACTCAGTCATTTCAGGATAAGTTGCGATTGAGGTTTTAAAAGCTGAATTCATCAACGAATGTTTAAGAATCTAATGTCGTGCGGAGATTTGGCTGACTGGTCAAAGAGATAGGTTTGTTAATGGTGGTGGTTGGCTTCGAATTACAGTCTAACTACGCGTTATCCTCACTGGTCGGGTAGTGATATCATGTGGTGTCACACATAAATTATGTAACTCCTATTCTAGTAGACAATCGTGTATCAGCTTGTCAGGTTGCAGTGAATAGTATCACAAGATTTGCACAAAAGGTTTAAAAGGTGCGCTTGTATGTGATCTTTCAGCTTTGATACTCAAAGCTAGAATTCTTCATTACTCTTCAGGAGGTGTGTTACCCTTATTGGGAAAGACAAATTTTTCTTACAGGGTTTCACCGTAAACTAACATTGGTTAGAGAACCATTGGAAAACCTGGGAGTACTGGACAGCTGTTCCGTCCTAGTTTGGGACTCTTCATCAGTACGCACCCACCGGCCGGGGTTTGAACCTAGGACCTTCTGGTTAGAAAGCGAGCTCGTATACCATTAAGCCACTGGTACCCGATCCAATGGCCAACCCATGAATTCTAACTTCTGCCAATTCAGAATATAGCGCGACCCCTAGCCTATGTCTTCGGCGAGTATTTGTCCTCACACCCGACCTGCTGCACGGGCCTGGCTTGTAATCAGAAGGTCCTGGATTCGAACCCTGGCCGGTGGGTGTGTACTAATGAAGAGTCCCAAACCAGGATGAAACAGCTGTCCAGTAATCCCAGCTTTTCCAGTGGTTCTCTAACCAATGTCAGCTCACGATGAAATCCTGTAACCAATCAACCAAGTCCCTACAAACCAATACTTGAATACAAATTTTGATATTTTTTTTTACCAAACTTCATAAAATTGTTTGTTTTTCTTTCAACCTGTTTTTTATTTATTTATTTATTAAGTTTGAGATATGGAAAGAACAACAAGAAAAGATGAAAGGTTTTTGTCGGACTTCCAAACAACCATTTGTATTCTTTCGTCCAAAAATTCAAAATGAAGAGTCTAAATGGCGTATGGAAATGACAAGCCGAGCTATAGATGGTTAGTAATCTTTTATGAATGCATACGTAATTCTTACCACCATAACCTTATAGTGTTATTGATTTGATATTTTTGTATTATTCTATTCCTTTACGACATTCCAAGTGGAAGATGGAGGGGGGACGGGCTTGAAGCTAGAGCCTGACACCCAACCTTCCCTTTTTACCGACCTAGAGAGGTTTAGAAGTTAGTTCGTGGGCTGGAAATTGAACCCCGAACCATGTGAGGCGTTGTTAGCAAGCGTTCTACCGCTGAACCTTAGACACACTATAGGGTATTACTCACTCCTCAGCAGCACAAAGTAAATACGAAGAGTGAATGGAGATTTTTGTTTATTATCCGTAACTGATTTTCAGCAGTTCAGAGAATTAATTGTCAGGTACTGTGTTGTTGTAATAGGTAAATAGACAAACAGACAGACAAATGAATGTAGGAGTGTGTGACTACACTGTAAACTGACACATGAAATGATAGAGGATAGGACAGATGTGATAGTGATAATAATACTAGTAGGCAGCTTTATTCTGAACTGTGTTTATAAAATGCACATAGTTCTTAGAAGTATTTATTGCATGTTCAAGTAAAAAGAGTAATTGATGGCATAGTAGGTCGATGGCGTGACGTAGAATGTTGCCTGACCGCCTGAGGCGACGGGAACTAATCCCTTGTGATATTTCTCTTTCTTCTTATTCTTGTCTGTCTCCCTGAAAAAATGCACGAAATTTGGTTTGGGAAGCCAACTGAGAGGAATACAGGAGTAAATTTCGCAACTCGAATTTTGCATAACTGAATGATTGATATTAGTTAGGGAATCACTGGGAAGTAAGCGAGTACCCAACATCTATTTCGTCATACTATGGAAATCTTCATCAGTACGAACCTAGGATCTTACTGTTACAAGTGAAGCTTGTAAACAATTGAGCCATTGGGATCCGATTCAATAGGCAACCCATGAATTCCAACTTCTACCGATTCGCGATATATATATATATATATATATATATATATATATATATATATATATATACAGCTCAACTACCAGCAAATATTATAAACGACGAGTAACTGATCTCTCACCTGACTCGGAGGACCCCTCTGCTTAAGACTTCTCACGGGAACTTCAGACAACTTTCTTTATGCGCCATTGGATCCAGTGTCAGCTGATGAATGATCTACGAGGTTGCCTTGTTAGTGGAGGGTGCTCGATTGGAACCCTGGTGGGTGGTGTAGTGTGGGTACTATTGAAGAGTTTTCGAACTCGAACGAAACAGCTGTCCAGTACATCCAAGTTTTTCAATGGTTCTCCAATTGATGTCAGCTCGTGATGAAACCTGTATACTAGTTTTGTCAATCAGGATAAGTTTAAAAGATGTTTTAGGTAGCATGAGTAGGGTGGATGCTTGACTTTCAGTCATTGGGTGTAGGGTGTGAGCCTATCCTGCACCTGCTGAAAGTGTTATAAACTAGGAGGTAATAGTATCTTGACTCCTCACATAAATAGGTTTACTCATTGTAAATCCCATGAAAATGCAATTGGTTATTGAGTAATAGTGACACTTTATTTTCCCAGATACTGGTTGGTATAGTTTAATCCCCCTGGAAAGCACATCCTACGAAAAAAAGCTCTTGTTGAAGCTTACGCAGTTATTTAAGGGTCTCTGTCTGTCTGTCTGTTTTCGATATAGAACTTTGCACCGATGTGCGGAAGTTCAAGTCGCCACACTCCCTTCTTGTAGCACACAAATCAAGAGAAGAAAGTAGAAGAAATGCATAATAGAGACAGTAAACAGAGGTGTGAGACAAAGGAATAGCAATAACGAAGAACAAAACAGTTTCATTGGAAATCATAAGTCATAAAGAGTGGATGCATCTGCACCAGCCATTGAGAACCATTTGAGCCATGTCACTAATTGTTTCCAGCCATTTGTTTTTTACCGTCTCGAGGACCCCAACCAGTCAGGAAGTGTACACCTTCCTACGTGGCTTAGACTAATTGTTGTAGATTTCATTGACTGGTTCCATGTTTTTGTTTGACCATTGCTAGTTCTTTTCCATCCTGACCCTATGTCAGCTAACATTGCCCGTCGGGGAAGACGATGTCTAGGCTAGGCATATGTAACACATGTCCTAACCATCTCAGTCGAATCTTTCAAAATTAATTGATATAATGACAACAACAACGTTATTTTCTGTGGGGTCATGTAGTAATTAGTCATGAGTGTATTTTTTATGGAGGTATTATTGTTAGTATTATTGTCTATATGCTTATTTTTCTTTTAATATACACACTTATGATGTAGCGCTTATTGAACGTCGCCGGAAGAAACTTGAAACAGAATTTGAAGAAACCTTACAGGCGGCGACACGTCGTCGTTTACCTTCAGCTGTTAATGATCTATCGGATAATAATAATACTAACAGAGTGAATAAAATTGATGGATCAACAGCGAAAAACAGTCGAAATGATTTTCTGAGTGGTGATACTACTAATACCAATACTACTGAACGTTGGTCCCCATTGAATAAAATAACAATGGAATCTAAGCCTGATAATTTGAAAAGTTTTAAAAGTGAACTGTCATCTACCTCAAATCATCATCTATCAAAAGATGTATTTAATAAATTCTCAGATAATAGCTATAATAACAATAATAATTCTCATCGTGAAGACTTAGAAGCTGGTGAACTATCCGATGGTGGCGGTAGTGAGACATTCGCTTTAGGCGATGAACCTCAACTAATAGAAGAAGATCAACATCAAGCTGTGTATACAGAATCTTCACGACACAGTAGTGAACAACGACAAAAACGTCCCAGTAATCAGTTATCACCAGGCAGTAGTTCACTACAAGTTCCTGCTAAACGCAAGTTATCCTCTGTTGATGAATCCTATACTCATCCATCCCGTACTGGTGATAACGCTTATAATAATAATAATAATAATGATGGTGATGATGATGATGAAAATGACAAGGGCAAAAGATGATTTGATCTGATTGAGACTGATGTATTCTAATTTTTATTAAAGTTTATACTTCGCCATGGTTTTCAACACTCCTTATTTTTCCTTTGCTCTTCCTCCCCCCTTTTTCTTCCTTACCTTTCTCTCATCTGTCATCCCTTTAATCTGCTTCCGCATCTTTCCAATATGGAGGGTGAGGAAGTGGAAGCAAGTATGTATGTATATTAAGATCCTTGTGTTTAATTCTCTTTATTTCACTTGTGTTTTCTTGTCTAACAACACAGCGAATTATCATTATCATTGAATATCTTACGAAGATGTGTATTTCTTTCGTAAGCTTTGTATTTTAACCTGGCTTAATATATATAGCAGTAATTATGTGATCATTGTATTTTAGTCTTTTACTCTCTGTATGGGATTGTTGAGAAAGTAGTATGATGTTATTTTATGTAAACTATGCAGGCTTTCAGTGTTGTTGGCCTGTGTGTTAGTTTGTTTTTGTTGTTAAATATTATGACTACTGATTGGTGTAAACGTTTGAAAGTTAAACTTAATGTTTCATCATAGGAACATAGGATTTCAGAAGTGTAAAGACTTGAAGTTGTTTCAGTAAAGTGTGTTTTGGTGTTTTACTACTGGGTGGTGGTGGAATTTGTACCTTTACGTCAATGCTTTCCTCTTTTCCGGGATCACTGTTGGTGATAGGAGATCACAAAGAAAGAATGTATCTGCACCAGCCATTAAGGAATAAGAACAAGGATTTCGAACCATATCACCAATCGTCTCCAGCTCTTCATTGGTTCTTACCATCCAGAGGACCCCAACCAGCCAGGAAGTCTACACCTCCCTATGCGGCTAGCCTAAACTAACTATTACGGCTTTCATTGGCTGATTCCATGTTTTGGTGTGAGGAGCATTAGTTCGTTTCCAACTTGAGTCAGCTAACATTGCCCATCGAGGAAGGGGGTAGCTAGACATGCATGAGTAACACATGTTCTAACCATCACAACCTCCTCGATTGATCTCCCCCTTCTTACCTAGCACTTGACGCTTAGCCTCAATATCCCTCACCTTATTATACCACTTCACACGGGAGGTAGAATACAGGCACCTATGATCCAAGACAGCTAGCCAGACTTTTTATGTCTTCCACTTTCAATGGCTATGTCTCACAGCCATAAAGGAGGATGAAGCGGACTGCTGAGCAGTACACATGCCTTTAGGTCGATAGCCGGATAACACATCTACGCCAGAGATGGTGTAAACTGGCAAATACCACACACGCCTTTTGTATCCGTGCTGAGATTTCATCATCAGGCAGTCCATTAAGGTTGACTCAACTTTCCACAAAATAAGTGAAATGGTCAACATGGTATACCACTTCATTCCTTGTTTTTAAGTTAGGAGTAGTCGGTGCAGTCCAGTCTTGTAGCCTCGTCATCTTACATTTAACAGGCGAATCTCATGCCAAACATTTGGATATTTCTGCAGGAGGTGTTTAGAAAACTCTGTTTTTTATCAGCGTCTTCACCTAGGAGGACTATATCACTTGCATATTTTAATTCAATGAGACTACTGCTTGGTGAAAAGGCAGTCCCTGAGTCGCTGAAGTCAGTTAGAGTATAGTCCAGTAGTATATCTGTGATGGAATTAAACAGATATAGCTACAATGGGCATCCTTGGCGGACACCGACTGAGAATACCGGGTTGTCTTGTGACGGTGTTTCAATGGTAGAATACTGGTCAACCGCAAATACAGTCTGGGGTTCGATCCCCGGCCGATACATTTCTAAAACTCAGTAAGGGAGGTGCGTAGGGAGGTCGGGCGTGAGGCTGGCGATCTCTCACCCATTGAAAATAAAACCAGTGCTACGAAACCTCATGGCTCAAGCCTTGAAGCACTTCTTTCCACTTGGAACGTCAAGGAATCAAGTGAAATAATAATAATAGACCTAAGTATCTGATGTCTAAATTAACACCACCTATTTCTGAAGTCCACTGTTTGGGTGGTTGGTAGGGGGCAGGAGTGATTATCTCTACGTGCGAGAATAATTGTCTGTCGACCTGATTTCTAATGTTGTTTCCCTTATAACAATAATTTAGCACTAGTTACAGAGTGCGACAATTTCTTTTGATTGAATAATAAGACTATCTGAGATATTTATAGGTCAGCAGGAGACTATTATTGACTTGGTGGTGAGTGACAGTTGGAGGCGAAATGAATATCTGCACTGTGGTAGGATTTGAACTACCAACGACAACGGAATAGCTAGCTACTCTGTGAGAGTTAGCTGGGCTAGCCAGGTGATTGATTAATCACTACATGTGACGCCCAGTCAGCCATCATGTAACGAATGTGTTATGTGGTACTGTCCGTTTGTTATATGACTGGCTGATTAATTAGGTCCTCTCCTTTTGAACGGTAATCATGGTGAATTAGAAGAAGAGCACAGAGAGAGAGAGAAGGAAAGTGAGCAGGTTTTCAATTTATGAAGAAACTACATAAAGTAGTCTAGGGTCAGGAGGTTGTCACTGATTGAGGTAGTGAGTCGTGATTTTTTTCCTTCACGTTCCCAGTAGAACATAGGGCCTCAGGCTAGTGGCTTGAAGTTTCTGTAGCAGTGTTTAATTTAACAGGATGGGGTTGCTAGTCTCGTGCCAAACCTTTCCTCTTTATCAGTCTCATTACTGGTTTAGCGAGGTAAAGGAGTGCGTCGGCCGGAGATCGAACTCCAGACCATGTGCATGGTCGGCGAGCGTCTTAACCGCTGTGCCACCGACGCCACCAGTCGTGATTGGAGGGATATTTTACAATTGTGTATTTCACTTCAAGGTGGCATACTTCAGAAGATCATAAGAAAAGTTTCAGCAGAAACACAAAGATTTTGGTACAAGACTGTTCCAAGGAGGATAGACATTGTGCCCGGACAGTGTCATTTACTGTTAACTGTTGATTCTTACTGAACATTTCATTCAGTTTTCTGTAACCAGTGTGCATTCTCCTACCTATCTGAAACCAACAATCGGATATTTGGCTAGTTGTCGGGCATCTCTCGATTACAGCTTATTTCTGTTTCCTGTAGCTGCTTAGTCTAATTATTATAATAAATACCATTACTTGTTTCTAAAGACCGGTGGCTTGATATTTGTGCACTACCTGCACAAAATAACCTTCAATAACGTTGGAGGTTCAGCGATCGAATGCTGGTCGACGAAATTTGTGGTCCGGTTGCAATCCCCGTCCAATGAACTCATAAACGTCCTGTAGCCGGTAGTAAGGTCGGTAAGGGAAAAAGTTGGGTATGAGGCTAGCAACGCGAATCCCTTTAAAAAGGTTATCACAACCAATGAAACTTCAAAGCTCAAGCTCGAATGCTTATCTCCCACTGGGAATGCAAATGCTAATTGGTATCATCCTGGAGGGAATAAAGGATGCATTGGATGCAGAACTCTGCCCGGAACAGGTTGGATTCAAATACTGCAAATCATATGCTGATCAAATTGCAACTCTACGCATCGTCATCGAACAAAGCATAGAATGGCAGTCAAACCCCCACCTCAACTTCATCATCTTCGAAAGGGCCTTCGACAGCGTTGACCAAGACGTAATTTGGAAACTACTGGAACACTACGACGTGCAGTACTCAAGTCTCTATCAACCTCATGACAACGCTACGAGCAAGGTGATCTACAATGGGAAACTCAGGGAGGCGTTCGAAATGCATACAGGAGTAAGACGAGGCAGTCTGGCCGTTATTACCGATGATATTCCTAATTGTGGTGGACTGGATTATGCATCAGACTGTGCTCGGGAATGAAAAGACAGGAGTGCGCTGGATATCCGATAAGAAGATTTTAGAAGATCTGGATTTCGCGCATGGATAATATATGTCTAATGTCACACAAACTCGAATACTTTCAGACGAAAAGGAACAAACTGGCTGAAGAAGCTGGTAGGCAAAGAAGATGGAGTTGATGAAGATAACCAATGAACCGCCGCAACAACAACCGCACCAATCACCACCAACGGGAGAGATTTGGCAGAGGTTACTTCCTGCCTTCACTTATCTAGGAAGCATCGTTTCAACTACAGGCGGAATGGATGAAGATGCTAAACGCAGTCAGAATCGGAAAGGCAAGATACTCTTTCACCAACCTAAAACCAATTTGGAAATCTTCAGCACTGTACTCAGGCAGCATAAACAAGAACAAGATTCGGATTTGCAATACCAACGTCAAGTCGGTCAGGTCTTCTATACGGGTCAGAAACTTGACCAGCGTGTAACGAAATGGATCCCTAACAGGTACAGACAGACTTTCATCAACAGCTGCTTTCGCTCCATACTGAAGATCAAATGGCTAACTGGAAAGAATAAGTAACAAGAAACTGTGGGAACAAACCAACCAAGAGCCGATCGTCGTCCTCCCTGGGGTGACATAGGGGAGATCGTATGAGGAAGAGATGAGAGATTGTGGGCAGTCGTGGACCCAAATGAAGAGGATAGGAGAAAGCGGAAATGTGTTGTTGAAGCCCTATGTTCTACTCGGAACCCAAGAGAAAATTAAAAAATAACTGGGAACGCAATGGAATAAAATGATAATAAACAAAGTCGAAGATGAACAGTCAAGTAGTCATCGCAGTTATGGAATAGACAACAGGAAATTGGTAGACGTAAGGATCTCTAAGAGACACCGTTGATTATATTTAAAGCTTATATGAAGGCTTATATTCATTTAAAAAAAGGTTTTAATACAGATAACGTTAAAGTTTGTGTGCATAGAATTTACCAACTAGCTCATTCGTTAACTGAAGTATATTTAAGTTATATTATAGTTTCATTTTATTATTATTTTTATCACTATTATTATAAATTGTTCCACTCAATCTGTTGTCCTTAATTTTCACAAGTTTATGTGTAAATAACACTATGAAACACTTTCAATACTATTATTGATTATATTTCTGCGTCTTCAAAAGTGGCCAGATGAAGAAAGAAAACAGTTTATTAATTATTTATGTTAGTTGTAACTTATAGACGTGGAGGTTGTGAGTCACACTTGTTGTGTGAGGGTTAATCATACTATCCAGACTGATTTATCTGGGGTCGGATTTGAACTAAGGAACTAAGTGATTTGAAGTCAGATTCCAAAGCTTATGGTCCTCTCGTCTGCTTTAGTTATTCATTTAGGTATACGTTCAAAACAAAACCGCTCATACAGGTTTGTTAGCACTCTTTATCAAGCAAGGCTTGTCTGGTACCTTGAAGGAACTGATGTCCACTGTGAGAATGTAACCCGTGTCAGCCAGTGCTACATTTAGGGATGTCACCACAGAGTATTTGGGCTAATGATCAATAACCTCCTTTAGGACTGTAAGGGGTCTACTGATTTGGTCATCACTAGGGTGTTAACCAGTGTCAATTATCATCATCACACCAGAACTAGGGATTAGACAATTGACAATACCTACTCCATATAGACTAGTTAACGTAAATCCAAAATCTCATGGAAATTACTTACCAAACAGTGAAGAAAGACTGATGATTCTGTTTCTGGTACCTTTTCATCAATAGTAAATATGTAAAGAAGTATGTATGTTGATGGGTTAGGAAGTTAACTAATTACATTGATGAAGTGACAATCAAGTAGAACATTCATTGGATTCAGAGGGGGTCGGATAAACGGAATAGAAAAAAAAATGGTGGTTAGTTTGAGAACTATTCAGCCTGAGGTTATGTCATGTGTATGTCGTAAGAGAGATGAAAGAAAGAAAAAAGTGAAGTGAATTAGTCTAATTCTATGCTTGCATATATATATATATATATATATATATATATATATATATATATATATATATATCCCGGATGTCAATATGAATCTTTTTATTGAATTTGAGATTTTCCCCTCGATTGATTGGTCCGAAGTGCTTGGTCTCAAACATGTCAACCTGAGACCGAGCACTTCGGTCCAATCAATCGACGGGAAAATCTCAAATTCAATCAAATCAATATGACCCATTGCACAAGAGGTGGCTCTCGTGGTCTAAGTGGTCTAGTGGATAACGCCTTGGCGTTTGAAACTATGGCTACTGGGTTCAAGCCTCGGTGGGAACACCATCATTCACTGAGAAATGCAGGTACATCCAGCTGACGAGTCCCAAATAGGACGAAATGCGCTTTATCCTGGATACCACTGCTAGTCACTATCCATCAATTAAATATGAATCTTTGTTGTAACATACCTTTACATCATTTACTTACTTATTAATATAGACTTAAACATTACAATGTTGTTGTAATTTTACATTTTCAGTCTAGTTATCATACTGGATAATGAGTGTCAACATGGCTGCTTCATCTACACGAAACGATGGTGATTCAACAACTGTTGATAATAATCGTAAAATTATATTGAATCGTCTAGCGGAACGTCATGCACAGATTAGTGCTGTGAATAGTCAACGTAAAAAAGATGCGGGCGAGTCTATGAGTAGTAGTGGTAGTAGTATGACAGAATCAGCCGCAGCCGCAGCGGTAGCAGATAAGCATACGGATTTTTTACAACAATTTCTACAGTATAAAGAGGCTGTTATTAATGATTTGGAAAATACTATTGATAAAATTCATACGCATAACTTACAGATAAGTGAACGTACCCAGGTAAGTATTCTCAATAACTATATCTTCATTGGACAGCTTTGAAGTGTTGTGATATATATATATATATATTTTTGTGCAGCATTTGAAAATGTGAGTATTTTGAACGTGGCAGTGTTGTTGTTGTTCTGTGTTTTTACAAACTATTTTAACTTGAGTCATTTGTTTATAACCTACACTCTGGTGATATCATCTTAAGAATTATAAAAGTTCTACGGACGGATACAAAGACGCTTATTTATTTATTTAAACGCATAAAACTTGGTACAATATGGCACCAAGAAGGATACTAATAAAACAACATAGATCAAAAGAAAAAAAAGAAAAAAAATAGAAGTAGAGAACGGATAAAGAACTTCATCTGGAAGGAAGACAGTCATGCTTAACAAGTTCAAACAGTATCCGTTAACTATCATCGGGAAGGGAAGAAAGAAGGAAATTGCAACACGTTCGCCATTGATTACGATTCTTGGCCATATCTGATAACGTTTTGAGCCATCGATTCGAGCTATCTCGCGGATCCCAGCCAGGGTGTCGTGACACACCAACCGATGCTAATCTAGCACAAAAATCCTCCATCCCACGACGCCACGTCATGGACTGACCACCTCTCCGCCTTTTCCATCCCGTCCCAGGGCTGGCTAGTGAACAGAGACCTGTACGGAATCTTCTGGGATGACATTCGCAGCACATGTGGTGATCTCCACTGTGTTCACACACATGCCACCGAACCTCAGAATTACTCACGCGATGATGACGTCGAACGCAAGAAATCCTGCGGAGACAGCGGTGATCGAACACGCAGAGTCGCCACACATCCTCAGCTCGGAGAGGCCAGGTTTCACAGGCGTAGAGCAAGTTAGCCCGCACCGAAGTATTGTGCGGCCTTTGATAGCCAGGCTAACGTCGCGACGGCGCCATAGGTGGCTCAAGTTGATGTATGCCACCCTAGCCTTCATTATACGGTTGGAAATCTCATCCGTCACCTCTCCGCCAGCACTCACACAACTACTCAGATACACAAACTTATCAACAACTTCGAGCGGTTCACCCGCAAGAGTGAGTGCAGGTACAGGCTCCTGTCAATCTTGTAACAGTACTTTGCACTTAGACGGTACAAAGCACATACCATACTTACAGACACTGATCGCCAACTGATTAAGTACGATTTGGGCAGCCTGCATGCTATCGCACAGTAAGACGATATCGTCTGCATACTCGAGGTCGAAAAGTCTATCTACAGGTAGCTGATCTACACCGCCTTCACGCACATCCTTCAGAGCCGACTCCAGAATGTCGTCGATGGCAAAGTTAAAGAGAAATGGAGAGATTGGGCAATCCTGTCTAACCCCACTGTTGGTTGGGAACAGTGATGATAGTTGGTTGTATGCCCTCACTCTACCCGAGGTGTTTTTGTATAGGGCTTTCAAGGTGTTAACAAATTTCTCAGGTACAGCTCTCTCTAACAGACAGTTCCGGAGCACAGTTCTGTCCAACGAATCGAAGGCAGCCCTAATATCAAGAAACACAACGATCGTTGGCCTGCAATACGTGTGGCAGTTTTCCTACAACTGACGAAGGGCGAACACCTGATCAATGCATCCACCACTTGAACGAAGCCCAGCCTGCTCTTCGTGAATCAATCCCTCACGTATTTTGCACAACCTGCGAAGCAAAAGAGCAACCAATATTTTAGACGCGACTGGTAGCAGACTGATACCCCTATGATCGTCACACGAATTACGTCGACCCTTTTTAAAGATGGGGACGATAATGGCCTCGTTCCACATTGATGGTACGCTCTCTGTCTCCCATACCTTCCTAAACAACCCGGTTATAGCCATTGTGAGAGTCTCGCCACCATCTTTAAAAAGAGCCGGGGGTAAATTGTCTGGGCCGGGCGCCTTGTGGTGTTTCAACACTTGGAGTTCCTTACGAACCTCCGCTTCGGTGGGTGGATCGGTAGTAATTGACCAAGGAGCACTGGGGCTAATGACAGTAGACACTGAAGCTGGTGGCCAGCTAAACTGTTCCCCGAAGTGCTCTGCCCAGCGTTCCAGGCGTCTTTTCAAGCTGGTAATTGGCGTGCCATCTGCCTCAACAAAGACGCTAGAGGATCTGGACTTCGCAGATGATGTATGCTCAACGTCACATAAACTGGAAGATATACAAACGAAAGCCAAGAAATTGGCAAAAGAAGTAGTCAACAGAGAGACAGACAGGACTTGAGGTGAAGCATATAGATGACGTAGATAATGAAGATAGTTAACCAACCAACCACAACAAGAACCAATCACTATCCATAGTAGAAATTTCAAACAGGTCACTTCCTTCACTTAACCAGGAAGCTACAGGCGGTGGTAGTTCGGATGACGATGCTGAAAACCAGTCAGGATGGAAAACTCAAGACCTCTGAAATCAGATTGAAAATCTGCTGCACTCAGGATACACACAACAAAATTCGGATTTTTAACACTAATGTCACGTCAATGCTGCTCCTAATGATTCAGAGACTTGGCATGTGGCCAAAAGCATTTCAAACGGGTCACTGCAGACTTTTGTCAACAGCTGCCTTCGCTGGCTCCATACTGGTGACCGAATGGTCAGCCAGAAAGGATGAACAAAAAGAAACTCTATGTACGAACCGATCAAGAACCTACTGCTCAACAAATGAGCCGAAGAAAATGAAGATGTATCGAACACACGTTGAGGAAACGATTGGATGACACCGTGCTTCAGGTAGTTCCGCGAGTGGAGCGTGAATTGGAAACGACGAGTTGGACATGGGTCCGAGGGTTATATGGTGAATGTCGTATGAATAAGAGATGGGAGCCTATGTTCAATCGTGGGACCAGCTATAGAGGACTGTAAAGATCAGTGTGAAGTGGACGTGTTCTGTTGAAGCCGTATGTCCCACGTGGAACACAAGGGAACAGTAATAATAATGATATACTTCAATATCCCTTCGTGGACGTCTCAGTATCTGATATATGCCCTATCATATGTGTGTTTTGTTTGACAGTCTGTCCTTGGTGATATTTATCCATATAATATGTGTGTTTGTTTGATAGTCGGTTATATTTTGCTATGGATACATGGATCGATATTCCATTATAATTAGCCAATCATGTTAAGACGGTCTATTGATTTGTTCATTTTGAATATTCGTCCACATACTTGTTCGGACATATATGTTTTGCTCTCACACTCTTGTGTGACGTTGATTCTCCTGGTGTTTTGGAAAATAGAAGTATCATCGCAAACCTAGCGGTCTTCTGATTTCCGTCTTTCTTGTGTCAGGACTATTAAATTCTCGATCAGTACATAACAATAATTTGGCGACGAGTACTTAATAGTATCAAACTGTGTAACGCCCACATAATGTAGTGAAGTGGTTACGTATATGTTTTTTTTGAAATATATTATTGGATTATAGATGATTTGGTTTATTTTCGGTCACATTTTAGCACTGACCTTGACGTGTCACTTCGATATGTTACCTTTGTTATTGATTGATGTCAAACTATTGATTTGCCTAGTTGATTACTTGCTTGATTTCTGCTTAGTAATGCGCGTGTACTGGGTTTGTGTTGGTGAATGTTGGTAGAATGCTTTGAAATTAGGTCTCATGATTATTATTGGCGTTTATCAGCAAGACGTATCTGTGCAATGTTGAAGTAACTAAGTGAAATTCTCGTATTATTTATTATTATTTCCTTTAATTCCTAGAGGAACGTACGACTTCGGCCGCACGTCTCCATTGCGTTCGCTTCTTTGCCAACGTTTCAATCTGGCTCCATATCTGCCCACATGCTTTCATCTCCTCTTCACAGACCTCCTCCAAGTAACTCTTGGACGACCAACTCGCCGCTTCCCTTTCGGGTTCCACTCGAGGAATGGCTTGTCTAGTGATGTCACTTGATGGTTTCCTCAGAGTATGGCCAATCCATCTCCATTTTTTCCTGCTTATTTGTTTCACAATCGGTTCCTGCTGGGTTGGTTCGCTCCCAGAGATCCCTTTCTTTTACTGATCTTTTCTGGCCGGCCTTCTGATCTTGAGTATTGAGCAAAGTCAGCTGTTAATGAAGGGCTGTAGTTTGTTTGAGATGCTCTTCATGACGTGCCAAGTCTCTGATCCATAAAGCAGCACTGACTTCACGTTGGAGTTGAAAATCCAGGTCTTATTTTCATTTTCACGCTGAGTACTGGTGATCGCTACATAGGCTTGAGAGTAATGAAAGCTTGCATTGCTCTCTCGACCCTCGCTTTGATATACTCATCAGTTCCGTCGCCTGTAGTTGAAACGATGCTTCCCAGGTAGGTAAAGGAGGTTGTTTCTTTCAGGTTCCTCTCATTTATGCTGATTGTTGCCTGTCTGTTGTTGTTGCTGTTGGTGTTGGCCAGGAGTCTTCATCACCTCTGTTTTCTCTATGTTTACTTGGAGTCCTATCTTTGATGCTTCTTCTATCGCCAACTTGTTGCTTTTCATTTGTATATCTTCCAGTTTGTGGGAAATTAGACATATATCATCGGCGAAGTCCAGATCATCCAAGTTTTTTGTGTGGGTCCATGATGAGTTCTCTTCCTGTGTTGTCTGGCCCCAGTTTGGCGTTCATACCTCCCATTAGCAATTTAATGTCACCGATTGAAGCGTTGTCCATTGTCTGTAGTTGTCTGTAGAACCCTTCCTCCTTTTCTAGGTCTACGTGGTTTTTCGGTGCATAGTATTGTGTAATTGTCACTTTCCTTCCTTTTGAGTTGGATCTAGCGGTCATTCTCCTGGGCGACATCGCCTTCCATTGTATCAAGGCCTTTGTTGCCGTTGGTGACATCATGATAGCCACGCCCTCGGTGTGCATGTGGTTGTCTCTTGGAGAGACTTAAATTAACATGTCACTCAGTAGTAGTTGACTTCGTGGAATTCTGTCTCATCGTGTTCTTGTCTATAATTATCCTAGTGTATAATTTGTTTTACAGATTTATTCCTGTGAAGAAATTTCATGGCTTTAAGATGACTGACTGTGCTGTTTAATTTTGTCTTCATGCAATAGGTTTTGGATGATATTTTACTTCGATTGGATCATATGCAAAAATGGTTGAATGAAGTTTCTATGTATCTGACTACATTCGACAATGAACGTGCTCGTTTAGAGTTGAAGGTTAGTTATCCTTTGCTTACGCTTATTATGTGTTAATTTCACTTATTTTTTATGTAATTCCTACAGTTTAACTAGTTTTTCTTTTCCCTTCACGTTCCCCAGTGGAACATAGGGCTTCAAACTAGTGGCTTGAAGTTTCTGTAGCAGCTTTTATTTTACAGGATGGGGTTGCTAGCCTCATGCCCAACCATTCCTCTTTACCAGCATTATTTCTGGCTTAGAGAGGTAAAGGAGTGCGTCTGTGGCAGGGGATCGAATCTCGGACCATGTGCATGGATAGCGAGCGTCCTAACCTCTATACCACCGACGCACTAGTTAGTATTGCAATTATTTTCTTGGTATGTGAATGTTTTAGCATTTATTTGGCTGTTTACTGTTTCGGTGTGTGTTGGTAAATTGTAGAATAGAATATTGTGAAGAAGTTTGGTTTATGTGATAATTATTGCTTGTATCTTCTCTGTCTTATAGATATCAAAGCTGCCAGTGAAGGTGTTTCTTTTGTAGAAGTAAACGACTTTGACTAGATATTTTGCTGCTTACAGCTTGTTGCATGTGGCTGTAAATCATTCGTTTAGGTGGTCTCTGACTTCGAACCAGCGTCACCTGTTGAAGCTTTGGCAGCAGCCAGATCATGTCACTAACCATTACAAGTTATGTAGGAGTTTTTCAAACTCATGGAAATACAAGTGGCTGCTTGTGTAACATTACATTCATTTTCCTGATAACATCTTGAAATATTCTCATGCTGATAAGAACGTTAATTTCAAGTTTGATGACGACGAGATAATATGATTTGAACAAGGCATTAAGAAGACAAATTTCCCGAGATGATGGCATCATTTCGTAGTTTCTTTACAACCGCTTTACAACTAACATGGTTAACAATGATAAAGTAAAGATCATGACAATTACTCAGTCAAATAAAAAACAAAAGTACATACTAATGACCAATCATATTAAGATAGGTCACGCACTCCAGGGTAGGCGAAGATTGAAGTCTATTGATTTTTGTACACACAGTTTAGGCTGTATGTGATTAATCCAAAGTGCTTCCATCACCTTCAATAACCTTGAATTAGAGTTATGTGAAATAATTGTGAAACAGTCATTAATATTGATTTTGTGACCAGACATTAATAAGTGTTTTGCAATGGATGATGCTGGATTTCTATTAAGATTAATCGCGTTAGGATTTTTGATATGATTTACTAGCCACTTTGGAATATGTTCTTTTCGACGACATTGGAACATTCTGTTAGTTCTACCTATATAGGTGTCACCGCAGCTGCAGGTGAACTTGTAGATACAGTTTGAAGTAGAGTCCACAGAATTTCGTCCTTTAATCCTAGGTAGGTACAGGGATCGAAAATGTTTGATGGCTGACCGAAGTCTTTGAACTGTCAACTGCATAATCTGGTCGCCCTTGAATGGTAGATTAATAAAGATAACTTTCTTTGGTACAGAAGCTGTCTTTTCCAGATGTGGTCTATCCTTACCGTGACAATTGATGAAGTTTTCTGGATAACCATTAGCTAATAAAACTGAATGTATGTGTCGAAGCTCATCCGTCAATGTGTCACTCGTGCATATTTTTCGGGCCCTTGAGACCAAATATTTCACTAGGGAACGTTTATACTGGATAGGAACAAAACTGGTAAAATGAAGATAATGTCCACTCCATGCCTGTTTACGAAAAATAGAGCGCTGAATCGTTCCATCATCTCTCCTAGTCATAGTAATAACCAGGAAACCGAGTTTGTTATTCGATGATATGAGTTAGAGAACCATTGGAAGACGAGGGAGTGCTAGACAGCTGTTTCATTCTAGTTTGAGACTTCAACAGTGTGCAGACAGAGAGCTAACACACAAAAAAAACGCCATAGAATTCCTAGGGATCTACTCTTGAATAAATTTGCAATGGATGTGTTGAAATAGATCTAATTTATATCGATCAATCAACAACAGGTCACACGACCGAGAGGTCAAATATCAGATTCATATAAGTGAATACAGTCATAGGGAAATCTACGGGAAGAAGAAATCACAGTGAAGGTTAACAAGGGAGAGATGAATATTATAACATCGGTGGAGAATTTTCACAGCTCCCTTCATATTCACAGTTCATGATATTATACTTGGTGTTTACTAATGAAATCCATAAACATTGAAATTGCATACGAAGATCTGATTGCAATTATTGCTTTATCCTTTTTTTCATAAGTGAATTATTTACTCAGTGCCCATAGCCAAGATTCAGGTGCAGGTTTGGTATCAAAATTGAATTTTGACCAAAACTAGGACAAGATTAATTCACTTTCTAAAGTTATATCACTGTCATTTCTTGTTAGCTGCGGATTGACTGCCAAAAATGGCCTCAAGTACAAAAGAATAAAAAATAGGGCGCCACTTCAAATATTAAAACTACACCACAGATGCTAGTTGAGTTATTCTGAACCCAGAGTATTGAGGAAGAGAAAGAGAGAGGCAGTGAACTTAGAAATTTGTAGCTTAAATCATTGTCAACTTATATGCATTACAAAGTAGTAAGGTTTATGAAAAACTAACTTATTATTATTACTGTTCGCTTGGGTTCCTAGTGGAACATAGGGCTTCAACTGCACGTCTCCACTCGCTTCTGTCTTCCTTCTGCTGTGCTTTTCACCTGCATCCATGTTAGACCATACTGTTTCAACTCCTCTCTCTTCACACGATCTCCTCCATGTCACCCACCCTTGAACTGACGTCCCACTCGCCACTTCCCTTTCGGCCTGGTTCCACTCGAGCAATGGCCTGACGCGCGCGCAATGTCACCCAGTGGCGGCCTCTGAAACTAGGCAAAGCAGCGGGACCTGATGGAATGACGCCAGAGGTATTTAAGTACGGTGGAGACAGCTTACTGTCTGCATTAACTGAGGTACTAGGCAGCGTCTGGGAATCAGAAGAAGTCCCATCGGGTTGGTGTAAGTCACTGATTATCCCCATATACAAGAAGGGAGACAAGTCTTCCTGTGATAATCACAGAGGGATTAGCTTGACTAATATAGTATCTAAAGTCTTAGGCTCAATAATCATGCGTAGACTGAGTGGTGCTCGGGAAGCACAAACACGAGAGAGCCAGGCAGGCTTTAGACCAGGAAGAGGGTGTATTGATCATATCTTCACCCTCCGACAGATTCTAGAACATAGGCATTCCTACCGGCGTCCAACAGTCATTATATTTCTTGACCTAAAGGCAGCATTCGACTCTGTCGATCGGGAAGTTCTCTGGAGATGCTTGGCTGTAAAGGGAATTCCGAGAAAATATATTGCACTGATTAAGGCACTCTACTCGTACTCATACAGCCAGGTGAGGGCTTACGGCGAGCTGTCATCTGAACTGATGACGACCAGTGGTGTCCGTCAAGGATGCCCATTATCTCCTTTTCTATTCAACTTCATCATAGATGTGTTAATGGACTTAACCCTAGGTGACTTCAGCGACTCAGGGATTGACTTGCTACCGGGGAATAATCTCGTTGACTTGGAATATGCAGACGATATAGTCCTTCTAGGCGAAGACGCTGACGAAATGCAGAGTCTTCTAAACACCTTGAGCCGCAATCTACGAATGTTTGGCATGCGATTCGCTCCCGCCAAATGCAAGATGATGTTACAGGACTGGACTACATCGACGCCTAGTTTAAAAATAGGAAGTGAAGTGGTAGAGCACGTTGACCGCTTCACTTATTTGGGAAGTACCATCAGCCCCAACGGGCTGATCTCTGACGAAATCTCAGCACGAATACAAGGGGCTCGTTTCGCATTTGTTAGTTTACGCCGACTCTGGCGTAGACGAGATGTTCGACTATCGACCAAAGGGCGGGTGTACTGCTCATCAGTCCGCTCCGTCCTCCTTTATGGTTGTGAGACCTGGCCACTGAGAGTGGAAGACATGAAAAGACTAGCTGTCTTTGATCATAGGTGCCTGCGTTCTATTTCCCGTGTAAAGTGGCATAATAAGGTGAGCAACATGGAGGTTAGGCGTAGAGTTCTAGGTAAACAGGGGAAATCAATCGACGAAGTCGTGAAGCTACAAAGACTGAGATGGTTAGGACATGTGTTACGTATGCCAAGCCATCGCCTCCCTCGACGAGCTATGTTAGCGGATATAGGGTCAGGCTGGAAAAAAGCTAGCGGCGGTCAAACAAAAACTTGGCATCAGTCAATGAAATCCACAACAGTTGGTCTAAGCCACGTAGGAAGGTGTAGACTTCCAGGCTGGGGTCCTCGGGACGGTAAAAATCTATGGTTGGAAACAATTGGTGACATGGCTCAAAATCGTTCTCAGTGGCGCAGATGCATCCACTCCCTGTGACTTATGATCTTCAATGAAACTGTTTTGTATTTCTTTATTACTCCTTTGTCTCACACCTCTGCTCACTGTTTCTATTATGCTTTTCTTGTACTTTCTTCTCTTGCTTCGCGTGCTACACGGAATGTGGCGACTTGAACTTCCGCACATTTGTGCAAAGTTCTATGTCGAAAACAGACAGACAGTGGCGGCCTCCCTCCTCAGCGGGCGAGTGTCCAATCCATCTCAATCCACTTTCTCCTGCATATTTGTTGGTTGGCGATTGGTTTTTGTCTTGTTTGTTTGTTCCCATAGTTTGTTGTTGGTGATTCTTTCCGTCCCGACCATCTGATCTTCAGTATAGAGCGAAGATAGTTGTTAATAAAGGTCACGATCAACGCTGTCGAAGGCCTTCTCAAAGTCTATAAAGTTGAGGTAGAGGTTTGATTGCCATTCCATGCTTTGTTCTGTGATGATGATGCGTAGAGTTGCAATTTGGCCAGAACATGATTTGCCTTTCCTGAATCCAGCTTGTTCTGATTGGAGTTCTGTATCCAGTGCGTCCTTTATTCTCTCCAGGATGATGTGACTCAGGATTTCACTTGGCGTCGACAGGGGCATGATTCCTCTCCAGTTCTTGCAGAGTGACACCTGAGTCGCCCTTCTTTGG